AGGCAAGTGACTTGCTTTGGCCATGACTCTGCTGGAATGGTAATATCCATGAAAGAGATTTAGGAAAATCGGTTAGTGAGACTTTTGAAGGAGGAACGAAGACATTGGACCTCCGCTGGTAGGTATGAGAGGGATGCTTCCCAGTAGGGAGTGAGGAGGATTCTGCCCTGCCCAGCACCTCCCTCACTCGTCCTACTCCACTCCCTGGCCAAAATATCCATCAGACGGCCATTAGCGTCACTTACAGCGGAGTCTGATAGAGAAGAAGTGCACATTACGCTATAATGGTCATATAATGGCAAGCTTACTGCTTTGTCAGAGGGGCGTTTGTTTACATTAAGCTGCTGTATATTGCCATTACGGAAACTTTTCAAGAGGCAGCGGAAGACCGACTTAAGCTAAAGTTACTTATGCTTCATGAAACAATACACCCACTTCAGGAGACCGGTACGAAAAATCGATATAGAGAACCAGCTTTTTATAGTGCAACGTTTCGCTTAGGGTTGAGCTTTATTTGAGTGAAACGATATCCGAGTATCTTGAACTAAAAGCTGTGTCGATAATTATACCCGTGCGCCTCGGAGTAATGAATCGGGATAAGTAAATGAAAAGATTATTATCTATGTTGTTCTGTGGTAGACTTTATTACCTATGTGCGTATGTGGAAGACTTTACTACCTCTGTACTTTTATGAAAGCCTTTATTGCGTATACAATCCACCATATAAATACGTCGTATCTTTTCCAGTACAAGTAAGAACGTGAATTTTCGAATGATTTACGTCAAGATCAAAATTAAATGGTGCTTTATTAGATTTTGGTTTGGTTAAGTAAGATTATCTTTGGTGTGAACTTTACTATGCCCATTCCTTTAAAGTACGTACCTTTGTACTTAGCACTGGAATGTATTTGGTCTTGGCATGTACTTAGCTATTGAGTTTATATTTTACATGTTTTTAATATTCAGTATCTGATAAAAGAGCTATTATTATTATTATTATTATTATTATTATTATTATTATTATTATTATTATTATTATTATAAGTAGTAGTAGTAATAGTGGTAGTAGTAATAGTAGTATTAATATTTTCTTCTTTCCTCTTCTTCTTCTTCTTATTATTATTATTATTATTATTATTAATATTATTGTTATTATTATTATTATTATTATTATTATTATTATTATTATTATTATTATTATTATTATTATTATTATTATTATTATTATTATTATTGCTATAGACAGCTGAAGAAGGATTTCGTTTCTGTCAACCACATCTTCAGAGCCGAGAATATTGAAATGCATACCTTCACAGGTCTCTTAGATGGTACAGGTGGCTAAGAAATTTTTTGAAATGTTGCTGGGTAAAAAAATAAATAAATAAGAATATCACTCCTATAACCACTTCGAGTCAGACGCTTTGTTCATCACATAGTTGCCAGGATGCCTTTATAATAATAATAATAATAATAATAATAATAATAATAATAATAATAATAATAATAATAATAATAATAATAATAATAAATGACAATTATATTAATCTGGACCCACATTATCGACTACCTTTAATTGACACACGAGATGTAAGCTTGTTAATGAGGAAATCTGTGCCTTGTTTTTGGCCTACCAACACATGGTGTTTAGTCTGCAAACAAACATTATGTTGTAAATAGGAGAAGTATGTTTGCGTAAATACCGATACAGCTCTGGAGTCAGTTATATCTCGACATTCAATTAATATTCGCCCACTTGGTGGATGTTAGTGCATGTGTGTGAGGACGAGTGTGTTTGAGGGAGTGTGGGTGGATGTAAGAGTGTGAGTGTAAGGGGGAGAGTGTGTGGAATTAAGTGATGTGAAGATGTAATCACCTGGGTTTCCGTCCAGGATCTTCAACAAAAGCTAATCGTGCCAGGATGGAGGAATGTGTAATACATACAGAGTATTGTGAAACCCTTTGAAGTGGCCTTACATGCATTTTGAAGCAGACAGGCGGGACAGGAAAATCAGTGGAGGAAAAAAATGAATGACACAGAGAGTCAGAAGAAACAAATACACATTGAGAGTAGGAGCAATATGAAAAAAAAAGTGTTTTTTTTTTAACGACAATAGCCTTCTCAACTTAGCTATGAGTCAGGTAAATAAAAAATAGAGAACTGAGAGCAAGATACCCTGCAACTATTACAAAACACAGAGACGAGGAGAGTGCAATCTCCCGACAACAGCAGTAGCAAAACGGTCACGAGTTACTGGAAAATCTCCCATGCTCTGGCTCCCCTTCTAAAAGGATAAACATTGAATCCCACGTCCCAGTGTCCTCTTCTGAAAGTATAAACATGGCTTCCCTCTTTTCAATGCCCAATTCAAATAATAAACATTGAATTCCTCGCTCCACCGTCCAGTTCAAATTGATGAACATTGAATCGTCATTAAAGTGTTCTTTTAAAAATGATGAACATTGAATCCCTGATTGCAGTGTCCCTTTAGGGAAGATAAACATTGTATCCCTTAATCCCTTTTTTCCAGTTACCCTTTCAAAAAGATAAACATTAAATCCCTCATTACCAGGCTCCCTCCTGAACGTAAAACAATGACTCACACTGCACTGTTATGGTGAGGGCGTTGGAGGCGGAGTCTCCCACGACGTTGGAAGCCTTGCAGACGTAGGTACCACTCCAGCGTCGCTTGATCTTCTGCAGCACCAGGTGGTCGTCAGACACCAGCACCCCTCCAGAGGCGTCCTGGTGCACCTCCTTGTTCTACCGGAACAGGGGAGAGAGGAGAACTCTGCTGAGCACACTTGAAGTTTCTCTATCTCTGTGGTCGAGTCGTATCCTATCTTTATTCATATCTTCCGTGTTCTCGTTCACACACACACACACACACATACACACACACACACACACACACACACACACACACACACACACACACACACACACACACACACACACACACACACACACACACACATGCACACACCACAACACAGCTGAACAACATCATTCCCAGGACAAGTGTTTCAGGTCCATCCACGTGGCCAAATAAGCTTTCTAACCCAATTCAAAACACCACCCTGGAGTTGCTGTCTCGTGAAGCACGTCTGACCAGACTATTGTTGCTAGCAGACTGAGGAGCGTGTTGCTGGTGTAAAGTTAAATTACGATGCAAGGGAAAGACCTGGATTAAAATTCCTTCTCTAACTCCGTAGTCACGCCTGGTTAATTAGTCTGTTGTTGCTTGCGTGAGGCAGAGTTCCTATGTGCAGAAAATGAAATCCCGTGTATCTAGAAATTTCAGTGTTGACTACCTTACTGAAGAATTTAAATATGTCTGATTCTCACTAAAAGTCTCTAACGAAAAAATGTCCCTACGTTTAATAGTAATTAATTGTCAGTTTTTTTAAGGACTGATACCTTAGTTTGTACATATGTGGGAGTAATCACGAAACAAGATTAAATATTAAGGAGGACAGGACAAACGAAATAATATCGAGACACTGAAGCAAAACATGTAGGTGGAAGAGGCAACGAACTGATAGGTAGATAGTTTTTCTTTTATATTCTGAGAGTTGTGTATTTCTTTATATATATACACCGAGAGGGATGTATCTCTCTTTGTATATATACAGAGAAAGGTGTATCTCTCATTGTATATTTCTGAATGTATATATACAGAGAATGGTGTATCTCTCATTGTATATACACCGAGAAGTGTATATTTCTGAATGTATATATACAGAGAATGGTGTATCTCTTACTGTATATACACCGAGAAGTGTATATCTCTGAATGTATATACACCGAAAGAGGCAGATTATGAGTGCTGTATATTTAAGTCTACCACTGCCCCCGTCATCAGCAAACCTTATTCACTTGAAGAGGGTTTCAACAGGAGATCGAAATATACAGTAGCCAAACAATTTTCTATTACAATGTCTTTATGTGAGATCGTTTGTGCCGTTGACCAACATGTATTACACTTTAATTGGATGCCTGATCGACTTATCTATTGCTTAATGTATTGAGAAAGGGAATTGACGTCCTGTTAGTCTGTGAGAATTCAATCAGCGGAAGATCCACGTAATTAGCCGAGATCTGAGGTGTGAGAATTAGTCTTCGGTATTTGGTGTTGGATTCTTGGCAGAAGGAAGACGAGGCTGGGTAATTAGGAAAAGTTTACCGTTAGGGCAACGTGTTAATTAAGCCAGAGCAAGTAATATGAGGCTGAAAGTGGTAGAGGATGCTGGTGGAGGTCGTGGTGGTGGTGGTGGTAGTGGTGGTTGGGGTGGAGGTGGTGGGGGCGGTAGTGATGTGGTTGGATGGAGACGGTGGTGGGTGGTGATGGTATAGTGTTTTGGTAGTATCGTGGAAGAGCAATCGATACTAGGAACCTGGGTTGGACACGAGAGAGAGAGAGAGAGAGAGAGAGAGAGAGAGAGAGAGAGAGAGAGATGAGAGAGAGAGAGAGAGAGAGAGAGAGAGAGAGAGAGAGAGAGAGAGCAGAGACAGAGACAGAGACAGAGAGAGAGAGAGAGAGAGAGAGAGAGAGAGAGAGAGAGAGAGGAGAGAGAGAGAGAGAGAGAGAGACAGACAGAGACAGACAGACAGACAGACAGAGAGAGAGCGAAAACAATAATCAACTTCCTGCCAGATACAATCAAACAACTACTTCAGACAATTATCACGATTGAATGAATATAAAAAAGCTCCTATTCACCACTACATCACCACCACCATTACCAAAAATACTTACATTATGGTACCAAGTGATCTTGTACACCTTAGGATTAGCAGTGACCGAACAATGGAAATACACATCCATCTCTTCCTTAATACCATCTGGTTGAAGCATCCGTCCCAGAGCCAGGTGAAGACGTGGGGGAACTGAGGAAGACAAAAGATACGATTATAAGCTCAAACAAGAAGATATTCAGTGGGACATACAGGAAGATAATGCAAAACGTCTAGGGGGAGATACTCATATATTGAGACATTCAGAGAGGTAAGGAAAAAATCTAGTTCAAGGAGATCTTTTATATGAAGATGTACAGAGAGCAAATGACTTGATGACAATGTGAAATATATCGAGTCAGTAATAAAGAACATGGTGATACATAGATACGAGGGAAAATATAATTATTCTTTATTATTATTATTATTATTATCATTATTATTATTATTATTAATTATTATTATTATTATTATTATTATTATTATTATTATTATTATTATTATTATTATTATAAAAATGATAATAATTGACATTTATACTGAAAATCACAACAACAATGAAAACAAGTGCACTTCAAATCGGTGATTATTGAATACATGACATTTCGCTTCCAGAATAAGCATGGTTGGAATCCTCTACCATTGCTGGATCACTGGACGATCACGGAGGCTTTACTATATAAATTGGTCACTACCCATCACTGAGTTAATCTTACATGCTTTTTTAAAATATTTTGTAACTTTTGTGGCATGATTCTGAAAGTTTTAAATTAATAATACTAACAGTATATTAACGAAATAATAATAATAATAATAATAATAATAATAATAATAATAATAATAATAATAATAATAATAATAATAATAATAATAATAATAAATAATAATAATAATAATAATAATAATAATTATTATTAATATTATTATTATTATTATTATTATTATTATTATTTTTAACTTCATTTTCATTATTATTGTCTTTACGATTGTGAGGGAAAAGTTCAATAGATAGGAGTAGCGAGGGAGTATATAGTAACAATAGTTTCATTGCCGGCTACTTGTTAAGGTAGGGTAAGTCAAGCTCTCGCTATTCCCGCCTTTTTTCCCCCTCCCCGAAAGTGATAGTTTCATTGCCGGCTACTTGTTAAGGTAGGGTAAGTCAAGCTCCAGCTATTCCCACCTTTTTTCCCCACCCCGAAAGTGATAGTTTGACTGTCGGCTGCTTGTTAAGGTAGGGTCAGTCTAGCTCCCACTGTCCCTTCCCCTCCTCCTTCCCCTCCCCCCCCCGAAAGGTGACGTGTGGGGCTCTGGTCCAAACAGTAATCACTAGACTCACAGCTCCCAGAACTACTGTAAGTACATGCCTGCCTTGTATTCTAGTGGATTTATGGGTTGAAAGCTTCACTTTTGACCAATAATAAACTTAGTCTTTTCAGCCTTGCTCTATGTTGACTGTTGTAATAATCACCACATCTTTTAGGTATTGTACTTATCATGGAGAGTGATTATTTAAGCAGTGGGTAACCTGTCTATCTTTTCAGCTTGGATGACAGAGAGGGTCACCTGTCAATCAACGAGAAGAACTGGTGGAGATGGACTAACGTCCTGAGACTTCCCCTTTTTGGATTTAATTACCTGTGCACCTGTAAGAAATTGCAGGACGTAACCCCTCATTATTGCAGTGGTAAAGGACCTGCTTTCCTGTCATCGGGATATAATACTCAAGGCTATTCTGTGAAGAACTAGCCAGTGGGTTGTAACCAACACCTGCGACGTCCCCCCCCATCATCATCGGCAACGGCTACGATTTCAACATTCAGTGTCACCAACACCAGACACCCCTATATATATTAGCGTTGAATTCAGTTATCATTTATATTTTTCATTTTTCATTTTCTTTAAAGTAGGATTAATGTTTCATATTTAAGTGTTTTATATTTTCTATATAATAAAGTGTTTATGTTTGTCTGTTATTTCTTTTTCTATTCACTAATTTTCCTGAGGAGGAGCCAGCCTTGGTAATACTGTCTGAAGTTGTTTCAGGGCTGAGTAAGCCTTCACACGATCGTTACCAGTCTGTCACTCTTGTCTTGACGTCAATCACTCTTGTCTTGACGTCAGTCACTCTTGTCTTGACGTCTCTCATCACTCTTGTCCTAACGTCAATAACTCTTGTCTTGACGTCTCTCATCACTCTTGTCTTGACGTCAATCCCTCTTGTATCGACGTCTCTCATCACTCTTGACATTTCTCATCACTCTTGTCTTGACATTTCTCATCACTCTTCTCTTGACGTCACTCTTGTCTTTACCCCTCTCATCATTCTATTCTTGACGTCAATCACTCTTGTCTTGACGTCTCTCATCACTCTTGTCTCGACGTCTCTCATCACTCTTGACATTTCTCATCACTCTTGTCTTGACATTTCTCATCACTCTTGTCTTGACGTCACTCTTGCCTTTACCCCTCTCATCACTCTATTCTTGACGTCATTCACTCTTGTCTTTACGTCTCTCATCACTCTTGTCTTGACGTCATTCACTCTTGTCTTGACGTGTCTCATCACTCTTGTCTTGACTTACGATATCGACTCGATGCCGATCTTCAAAAAACTCGACATTTTCTTCAGTTGTGTGGATAACAATATTCTTCGGTAATATTTCCTTTGTATCCTTTCTCCCTCTTTCCTCTCATTCCTCCTTTTTCCCCTCCCCCCCTCCTCTTAATGCCCCTTTATTGTCCCCCCTCTCACTTCCCCTTCATCCTTCCATAACATCTTGCCACATTCGACCCCATCCCATTTTTTATTCTTTCTTTCTACCTGTACCAGTATGAAGACAGCTTTCAGATGTCTTCATACTGGTACAGGGCTCTTGATCCAACGAACTGAAGCTGCCCTCAGAGTCCATGGCTCAAATATAATTACCTCTCAATCTCCAGGCGCTTCGTGACTCCTACGGATAGGCACTAACTCCCCCCCCCCCGCGAATATAATAAAAATAATGTTAAAATAAATTCTATATTAATTCCAAGCTATATGTGAATAAATGAAATTTCGTATTAAAATATCCATGGGAGAAAATTAATGATTTATCTGGAATGACGCTTCATTTTATCTGTCCAATAAATCATATTTTTCCATTAAAACGGGAATCAGAATTTTGGTTTGCTATAAACTGATTGCAAAAATTGGAAATCGCAAGCTTGTCTTACCTCGCGCTGATTTAAGGACTTGCAGTTGCCAGTATTGTTGAGCTGCAACTCTAAAATTGTGCGTAAAGTTAGTAAAAGTCTCTGCAAGAGCTGTCAACAACAGCGAGTATTCAATAAACTCGTTCGTCTTCGTAGTCTAGGGCGTATCGGTTCACAAAATCGAAGCCCCGAGTTAAAAGTCTGGACGTGTTGTTTGCAAACTTTAAAAGCGCTGCGATATTATGAAAAAAGTGAGAGAAAGAGTCTAAACTGATTTTACTCGCTCTATTTTTGTCTTTTTTGGAGATAAGACAATTGAGCAGTTTACCTTCACCTTCCTGGCCAATCCTGCGACCAGTGTGAGGCGTTCATAATATTTTATTCATCTTCTTTTCTGCCCTTTCCTGCAAGATAAAATTCTCTCACTCTTTGGCAAATATGTTTTCTGTGTGTGTTTCAGAAAGCGCACGGGAGATCGATCCACCGTTCGCTAATCTTTGTTCAGTCTTTGACCAGTCAGACTGTTAGTGAATGCCTCTTAGCGAATAGAACATTAGAGAGTACGTCAACTGAAGCCAGGAGTCACGTCTTTACTTCCACACTGAGGGTGCGACAAAGCTCATAACGCAGCTCGCAATATCTAACCTTTGATAAATTCTTGACGCAGAGGGAGATCACAACTGCGCTCTGCATCTTACACTTGCAATTGTTCTTCTGAGATAATGTTCTCACGCACACTGCCAGTGAGGGACTGCAAGAGACGATGCAGCGAGTACTAGGTCATAGTGTCGCAATACAGCACTTATGCTGCAGTGTACACATTGCTTCAGAGAGGTAAGTGTTCTGGGTGATCCAGCACGTCCACGTCGCTGGCGGGATACTGCGGCGCCGGGACCGCTTCTATCTACGAAATTTTATGTCATTCTGACCACTTTCTCCAGTGTCTTAGTTATCTAGTAAATAATTCGTAGTTCATTTAATTATTATTGTATTTGCACACACACACACATACACACACACACACACACACACACACACACACACACACACACACACACACACACACACACACACACACACACACACACACACACACACAAACATACAGTACGAATTTCGAATATCTTCTGAAGATAAACATTGAGAGAAGAATAGCAGGTGCGGGATGGGAGAAAACAGAATTCAGACGAGGAAACCTTGAAAAGATGAGAAAATTCTTGAAAGCAGTACAGTGAAAGAAAGTTGAGAGATTAAAGCCAATGAATGAGAAAATAAAGTACCTTGCTGGGAAGTGCTGGGAGGCAGAGGAGAACATCATACCCAGAAGAAAATTAGAAAAAGGTAAAAAAAATAGAATGTCCGCCGTTCAGTAAAAGTTGCAGAAAGGTTAACAACGAAAAGTAGAAGAGAATGGAAAACTATAGAAAGTGTGGGGAAAGAAGAAAGCAGAGAATTAAGGAGAAGAGCCAGAAACGAAAACGAAGAGTGAGAAGAGAAGAGAAGCTCAACGACAATTTGAAAATGACTAAACAACGAAGTCTGAACCGAAAACGGTTCATAGTCTCATCAGAAGAAAAGAAGAAACACGAGAGTAAAAGGATCAGGTAATAAGATGGAAGAAGGAAGGTATAAAGCTCACGAGAAGTGACAACTAAATCTGTAGTGAGTTAAACAAATTATTTAATGAAGTGTTTACAGTAGAAACACAGACAACACTAGAGAGTCCAAGAGAAAGTGGGCACAAACAGCTGATGACCACCATACACCCAACAGTGAAAGAGGTGAAAATACGTTTGAGCGTGCTGGATACGTTAAAGGCAGACGAGGTGTCACCAGGGATTCAGCGAGAGGGAAGAGGAGAACTAGCAGAACTACTAGTTGAAACTTACATCTCAGATATATACAGGACACTTGACAGATGTCTTCCTGTTTGGAGATAATGTAAAATTAACAAGAATAATGAAAACCGATAAGGGCAGGAAACTGCTACAAATAGACCAAGATAAAGTGTAATATTATTCAGACAAACTCATATCTGAGTTCAACCCCAGCGAATGCGAAAAATGGGGAAGAGGCAAGAAGACTAAAAACTGAGTATAGACTCGTGGGGCAGAAGCTGCAAACCTCGCTTGAGGAGGAAGATCAAGAGGTGAGCATAGTGCTAAGCATATTGCCGGTAGCATACATCCGCCGAATATTTTCTGCAGCGAATGCTCGTTTGGCAAATCTAAAAGCAGCTTTCAAGAATCTCAGCGAAGAGTTATTCACTGCCCAATCTACGACATACGTAAAACCCATCTTGTAGTATACAGCAAAAGAATAACACTCCACCACCTCAACGCATGTTACGAAACCCGAGAAAGTGTTGAGTTGATTAGTGGTTCAGAGAACCGACAAGCTGATAAATTAGACACATGTGCAACACTTGGGCATCTTTACTGAGGAAACGTTTCGCCACACAGTGGCTTCATCAGTCTATACGAAGGAGAATGGTGAAGAACAGGAGTCTGAGGTAATCAGTGCCTCTGAGGGACTGATTACCTCAAATTCCTTCTGTTCTTCACCATTCTCCTTTGTATGGACAGATGAAGTCACTGTGTGGCGAAACGTTTCCCCAATAAAGATACCCAAGTGTTGCACATGTGTCTAATTTATCAAAGTGTTGAGTTATGCAACGAGATCAGGCCAGTGAGTTATACGAGAGGCTGAAGGTACTAAATCTGATGACATTAGAGGACGGGAAAAGCCAGTGCAGCCATGATAACGACATACGAAATACTCAGAGGAACTGATAATATGGATCGGGATAGACCGTTTGAGAGACCGGGAATGGATACAGTATACAAGGGTACAGTTGAAAATTAAAATTACAGGTGAATCACAGTGATGTCAGGAAGTATTTCTTCAGCCTGAGAGAGGTCAAGAAGGGGTATATCCTAGACGAAGTAGTAGTGGAATCGGGCTCTATACACAGTTTTGAGAACAGTTATGACAGGACTCACGAAGGATGAGGGGAATAAATCCGGTAAGAGACATGTAAGAGTCAGTTCCAGAAGCCGAGACTCGACCTCCGGAAGTACGAACTGGAGAGTACAATTAGAAGACTGCACATACGCATTACAGTAAATGAGAGTAATGAAGTTTAACAGAATAGTAGGACAGAGAACGAACTAATTTATTACGGGTGAAGCTAGAGCTCCACCCGGTGCCCCAGTAAGCTCTACCAGGTATCCAGGTAAGCCACTAAACACACGCATGGACTAATACACAAACATGCATGAGGAAGCAACCGGAAGCACTTTCCAGGAAGTTCCCGTTAAATCCAAGTCCGCTGAATAGAAGGTTTTTAATTTCTCTTTCAAAAGAAATCTGACAAGCAAAGCTAAATCAATTTTGATTTAATGTGCTTGTATTTACACTTTCTGTTGTGTCCACTATGCAGTAATGATCGCCTTAATAATTAATACGTAAAATATAAATAACTAAGTATGATAAATTGTTAGGTTTCAATCCAGTGGATTACACGAGGGTGAAAAAGAACGTCGTTTTCCCAATATCATCAGGAATTTTATTAGCCCTGAACGACGGAATATGGTAAGCACTTTGATGTATATAGGCTGAGAATTATTTATGTACTTGGAGATACATACCTGGGGATGTGTAACAAGAGTATCAAAATAATATATCAGTGTGCCAACACCCTGGAAAAAGTATAGACACCTCCTGGTGTGTACATACTAATACATTGCGCTGACATATGTTCCTGGAGAGATGAACTACTGATAGGGTACATGCATTGAGATGCATATACTAGAGAGGAGTTGATCTGAAATTACTAGTACAATACTTAGAAATAATAAAAACAGAAGTATTCCAATAACAACAAAACGTAGTCGCGTGCCTAACAAAAATATGACAAAATACATACAGTATGAACATTGTAATAAGGCTTAAAACTATGGCGCTCTCGAAGCAGGAGGAATGAAAAGAGAGGGAGGGGAAGTAAAGTAAACGTGTGTGTGTGTGTGTGTGTGTGTGTGTGTGTGTGTTTGAAAATTTACGATAAATATTCTCTTATGTCATACTAACTTTTACTTTATATATATATATATATATATATATATATATATATATATATATATATATATATATATATATATATATATTATATATATAATAATAATATATAATAATAATAATAATAATAATAATAATAACTTTCTAATATCGTCATTAAGAGTAAATAAAATATTAGATAGAAGATAGATGATGGATAGATAGATAGATAGATAGATAAAGAGAGAGAGAGAGAGAGAAGAGAGAGAGAGAGAGAGAGAGAGAGGAGAGAGAGAGAGAGAGAGGGAGAGAGAGAGAGAGAGAGAGAGAGAGAGAGAGAGAGAGAGAGAGAGAGAGAGAGAGAGAGAGAGAGAGAGAGGAAGAGAGGAGAGAGAGAGAAAGAAAGATAGAGGATAGAGAAAGAGAGAGAATTCTCTTTAACACACATTCCCTTGTCCTCGACCAACTGTACAAATACATAAATAAAATCTACGGATGACGCACCCCGCGTTTCACTAGCTAACAAATGTCACTACTTATGATAATATCAATACACGATGTAAAGAATGTTTATAAAGCAAAGAAGAACAGCAACAGACCACTGGGATAAAACGTGAATGTTTGTTCGTGAAAGACCTTTGGAAGGAGGAAAAAATATAAGTAGTAAATCCTAGAGAAAATCGGGAATACAACCCACATCTTAAAAGATTATATTCCATTTTACGCAATATTATATGCGATAATAATAATGTATATGATATTACTCAGAGGTTTCTATGAGACTTTTCAGTATTTCGTCATCTACTGGTATTTTTCATGTGTTAATCAGATTATGAAAAATGATAATTAAGCCTAGTTTGGTTACAATAATTTTTCCAGTTATTTTCTAGTAATTTCCTGTCATCTTGAAATTGTCGTTACACGTTATGTTTCACCACAAAATATATAAAATGACTTTTCCAAATCAAGTTTGTTACGTCTTTGTGTATTTTGCAAAACTTTTTATTAAGTAATCTGGTAATCTTTACAGTGCAAGATTGAATAAATTCATCTCTTCCAAAGTAGCTTCTAACATCAACACACTAGCCTCGGAACAAAGACAAAGTAATTGACATCCAATCAACACGACTACACCAGAGATAATATTAAACGTATAGGAACCGTTCGAGAAGTGGTAGATAAGCCAGAGAGCACAAACTACTCAATAACCAGGAACAAATAGCGAATCCAGGAATGAGTAGGAAAGGTAAAGGCAACGAGACGACTAATGAGTGACCGGGAATGTCGTACACGAGGTCACAGTTGGAAATGAAAGATGCAGATGATTCACAGTGATGACAAGAAATATTTCTTCAGCCTGAGAGGTCATGGAGAGCTAAATGTTCCAGTGATACTGGGTTACTGCTTCTCGTGTCTGCCACTGGTAGGAATAGTGATAAGCCAAGAAGAGTTGAGAAACTGTGTAATAACAAGAGTTATTGAAGAACCAGAGGAAACTGTACAGAACAGGGAGAAAGGGGGGAAGGGTTACAAGGCCAGACACTATGTTACCAATGGCAAGGACGTACAATAATTCAATTGACACAGGAGAGCTAACGGCCAGCTGCAAGATGGGCAATATGGTGCTTGTCCAATGTGGTGCTGGAACGAGGTGGTAAACGTAGGAGGAAGAATAGTAAGAGGCAGAGAGTTGATGGTTAACTGGTTGTCGAAGAAAACAAATCGTGTCTCACAAACAAGTTGAAATTCTACGATGAAGATGACTTGAGTCAAGCACAAGGAAGATGACGCGAACAAAGCAGATGAAATGACAAACTATTTCTTCCAGACTGTCTTACACCTTCGGTACTATTCATCTCGAGTAAATAAGCAGCCACTTCTGTCGTGGCCAACCGAACAGCCTTCAGTGGTCGATGCTGCCATGGCCCACTCTAGGCCTTCACTTTCCCCACACCCTCACAAGTGTTGTTGGATATCAGCGTCTTCCTGTGCCCCTGCTGTATGGAAAGCAGGGACACAGGGGTAAAGAAACTGAAGAAGGAAGAGGAGGAAGAGAAGGAAGGAAATGAAGGGGTGAAAGAGGAAAGGAAGAAACTGGACGAGAAGGAAGAGGAGGGGAAGAACGGACGACCCCCCCGCAAAAAAAAATGTATAAAATAGAGTAAGACTGATTAACTACTTTCTCTCAACACTCACAGTGAACATCGAAGACTGAGCTGTTGGAGACGACTCTATCCTGCAGAGCTGGGCTGGCCGCAGAGCACCTCAGCGTGGCCCCGTGATCTGTCCAGCTCAGCTTGAGTTCCAACCAAGATCTGCTCACGTTCCTCTTAGACAAGTCCTGTATGAAAGACACAAGCAGAAAAAGAAGACATCATTAAAATGAATTTCTCTTTGTGAGGCTGTACAAGATATGGAAACGAACCAGTCCTTGCACGGAGAAATGCATAAGAAAGGCAGAAGCAGAAGAAAAGCATAAGAAAGGCAGAAACAGCAGAAGACTTGAAAGCCCTTAACATGGATGTACTTGAGGAAAGGCAGACAGCAGGAAATTGAAAGTCCTCAGCGAGGCTTTCCGCTGAGGATTATCTATTACAATCTATACTGAATGTAATGTGCTACTGTCGAGGTGGTCGGAGCAAGACCAGTAAAGCAGAGGTGTCCTTTGACAGTTTCCCGTAAGTTCCTCAGAAGAAAGAAAGATACTGTGAGAAGAATTCCTTATTGACTGGTCTTGTAACGGGGACGATTTATGAATTATTATTATTATTATTATTTTCAAGGGGATGCAATAAATCGGAGGGGGTTATGCACCGCCTGAGGACTGGAACGTAATCAGGTTTATCAACTAAGTGAATATAATTTAATTAGGTAACGTCCTTGTTTGCTGAATGTGCCACACGGGTTTAGCACTTCGCAGAAATATATAGTAATAATAATAATAATGATAATAGGTAAAAGTGAATGGATCTTATGCAGGAAGTGGCGGAAGTTCGCAACTCCATTCTCTGTTCAATCAGACTGTTGTTGTTCGACGAATAAAGGTCACAGTTCCGTGGCTGAAACGCATCAATATTAACCAACACAATGGAAATGTAAACTGAATGTCATTTTTGCTCATTCCGGACAATAACATTAAGTCACTCTCGACTTCATAATTATCTAGAGACAGATGAAACACGTGATTCAATTTTCGTTTCCCATTATGGAAGGTTTGTTGTGAACAGAAGTAGCAATATTAAGATGGAAAAAATTGAGGAATTTCGTGTGAGCAAAGAATGGAGTAGAGTATTTTAAGATGGGTTCCTCAGGAGTCACATATTGCATGAGAGACTAGAAGGGAGAGAACCTACGGAAAGACGATTGACGGATGAGTATTAGATGGGTGGGTCATCTTAAATTACTTCTAGTCTAGCGAAAGAGAGAGAGAAACATTGATTAGAGTTTTCTTTTCAGGGTGAAATTTGAGGTGGTACAACTAAATATGTATTTAGGAGGAACAGATAGATGAAGAAGAAAAAGAAGAAGATCAACAATAAATAAAATTAAATAACATAATTTAAGGAAGAAGAGGAAAAGGATGAAGAGCATGCGGAGGAGAAGAAGGAGGAGGAGGAGGAGGAGGAAGAGGACGCTATTGCAAAGTAATTACTCCTGCCCTGCCTCTTAAGCAGGTCTTGTAAGACGAGGATATTGCTCTCCTTTGATGAGCTCCTCTTAGCCTCCTTCTCCTCCTCCTCCTCCTACCTTCCCCGCTGCTCTTAGTGCCAAGGTCTCTGTTACGACATTCCCTCTTGACTCCTAGCTTCTTAGACCTGAACTTCAGCCCCTTTCCCCAGCATACGCCTTCTACTTGCTCCTAGTTCCTTTTAACTCCTCTCAGATCTCAGCTAACACATTTTAGCATCTTCGAGCTCCTAGCATCATTTCAGATCTCAGTGGAAACACCTCTTTTTTCAAGACCTTCTAACTCTAGATCTCGCACGATTCACTATTTTTCCAAAGCATTTTGTTTGTCATCATCACCATCAACTGGCTCCTTCTCACCGCCTTTCACATCTCAACCAATAACTTTCTATGTCAGCTCCATCGCAATCTCAGTTCTCCTTTTTCCTGATCCTCATCACAGCTCAAACCTACATTCAAGTCAGAGTGCACATTAGCTTGGATTCTAATCAGGAAAAGATGAAAATCATTAGAATATAAAAAAAGGCAGATCGTCAGAGTGAATGAGAAAAATACGTACACGTTAGGGTAGATGCATAGGTAATGAAAGAGTGAAGCGGAGAGGAATGCGAGAGCCTTGCGACACCGAGTCAAAAATATTTCCAAAAGGTATAGTTCCTCGTTTTTATATACACATAAAAATGCATTAACTGGATGGGCAGTGCGTTTGTCTAATGTTTTACGCACAGGTAAACTTGGTAAGGTTTACAAACAGGCGAGGTCAAAAAGCACACATAGACATTCACCGTCACACACACACACACACACACAAATAATTATTGGAGAGGACTTTAATTACTATCAGACTGAATGAATTATTAGGTTGAAACAGAAACTAAACAGCTAAATGAATGTCTAAACATGATAAACTAAAAAATGCAAAATCAAAGTCTCGGCGCTGTGCAATTAGCATACCTGCCTTTGATAATCTTGTGTGCAAGATATATGGAGAGGCACCGCCATATGTTTGTTCCACTGTATGCAAATCTCTGTTCCTATATTGACATCTAGGTGACTACAAATACGAAGCGCGTCTGTCTAGCGCTCACTAGACGGAGAATCAAGCCACCATCCACCACGTCTTGCGCTGAATGACCCCACATGGGTTTAGCTCTTAGCATGAGTTATTTAATTTATCCTACAATCCATTAATTGAATTCCTTCCAATTTTATTCAGTAAACAATGTGAGATCCCTGTCGTACTTTAATCGATTAACAGACTATCATGGTACTAAATTGGCTACAGCAACGTACTACTGAGAGTAATGAAAGAACCTGTTAAAGCTCTGCCAGTTACTGTGACAGCGTCAACTATTAGCATCATCATCAGGAGGGAGCGCTCAACGTGACAACGTAAAGTTCTACAGTGATACGTTATTTATTTTTTATTCATTTACATAAAATTACTATTCGTTATTCGTATGTTTAGATTTTGTAACTGTTTATGAGCGTATGCTACTGGACTACAGACTCTTTGCCTTGCTACTGCTTCTTATGGTCTCCGTTTCCCATTTTCTTTACGAGGAAATTTGTAAAACGTGAAATTTTTATTGACAGACAATAAGTTTTCCTTCACTTGTTGCGTCGAAAATAAAAAGTGAAATAAATCATAAATTTAAGAAAAAATAATTAAAATTTATGTCTGTGTTTAGGCTTTTTCATTTGAGAAAAATTCCCCAGTGAATCTTTCGGATAAATATAATTTTTGTAAGATTTTCATCAGTTGAATGTCTCTTACTATTTAAAAAAATAGCAAAGTTATATTTAAGTTATATTTACATGGGCTTTCTC